TCTTATGTAATCCTTCTCATTTTCCCTTTGAAAATTTTCCTTTGTCTCAATGTCTGAATATTTTAATAGCTTAATATGGCGTACATACTCCCCATGCAATGCTCTATCCCAAATAAATCTACGAATCTTTTTCTGTTATTTCAGTCCTTCTTGGAGGAACAGTCTAGTCCAATCCAAAACAAAATGTTTTATAGTTCATAAAACATTCTCTAGTGAGCAGAGGTGGCTAGGGAGTAGAGGTAAAGAAGATGATTCTCATTAAAAAGAATGTTCATGGGCTGGGGATTTAGCTCAGTGGCAAAGCGCCTGCCTGGCAAGCGCAAGGTCATGAGTTCGGTTCCCGGTACCAGAGAAAAACCAAAAAAAAAAAAAAAAAAAAAAAAAAAAAAAAGAATGTTCAGGGAGAACTTCGTACTTTCTGTCCTCAGAAATCTGGGTTTAAGGGCTAACTGGGGAATGAAATCCTGGAAAAATCCAGTGTGAGTCAGAGACAAAGAGAAACAGTCTCAAAATTTGGCGTGGGAAGTAGGGTCAGACAGTGGGAATAAATGAAGATTTAGTACGGAATTGTGAATTTATAAACTGGAGAGTTCAAAACTTAAGTGTGTATAAGCAATGCCAAAATGGTTAAACAACTCCAATCTTTTCTTTCTACTTGGAGATAATCAAAACCATCTGTTCCACCATTTTTACAGCTGCTTCAAAATAATTATATTTAGGTCTTACCTAAAATTCTACTTCATATGAAAAATTTAAATGGAATTGCACTCCCTATTGTTGGGTCAATTTGCTTAGTCAATGACATTTTATTCAGTAAGTTTTTGCCTGTTATTTCTATATGTGTCTTGTACCAAACTGTGTGCTAGGTTAACCCTTCAAATTGCCTTTAGAGGAGAAAGGAAAACAAAAGAAAGAGAAAATAAGTGCAATTGTTTAAACTGTAAAGAATGACAGAAGAACAAAGAAAAAAACACTGTAATTTGGAGTACTTTTAGACAAATTTGGTGACTGCATCTACAATGCCTTACTGTTTACAATGTGCTAAATAAAGCAGTAACTCTTAGGCTTATAGCAGTCTCACATATATGACTGTTGTTATTTCAGCCTGAGTAGCCGTCTTCAGGAAACAAGAAAGTGACATGTTTTATATTTTAATTGGCTGGAAGTAATGGATCAATAAAGTAACCCTAAGCTGTTTGACTTTGTCGGATGAACTCATTTGTACTTATACCTATGTCAGTAGAAGAGAAGGTGCTCAACTGAAAACAGGGAGAAGCTCCAGGCAGTCCATTGTTATATATTTATTCTTCACAATTAAATCTTCATAAACTTATAAGGAAGGAAGTTTTACATCATTTTTTGTAGACAGAAAAACTCAGACTAACCTCAGTGATACCAAAAGGCCAAGAAAAGTTAGCCTGCAAAGCAGAAACTCCATAACCCATGTGAGGTACTTAAGTTATGGACAACTAAAGTAAAACCTGAATCCACAAAAGTAGAGGCAAGAATACTTGAACAGATATGGTGAAGGTTAATGAAAGAAAGTTCTAAGGAAAGATGGTGTAATGAAAAAGCATCAACTGCACAGCCAGAAACAGGAGCTAAATAAGCACAGATATCCCGAAACTGGGTTTTGGTTTTCTTTTATGTAAAAAACAATTCATACTGAGTATCAGGACTATGAAAATCTGAAATATCTTGAACACTGATGTTGACCTCACAAGTGTCAAACTCTGCATCTGACCTCACGTGACAAATCACAGTCAAAACGTAGGTATAGTAACAACAGTATATAGTTACCTTCAGGCTATGTGTAGAAGGTGTTTATAAAACCTAAATAAGTTCTTTGTTTAGTCCCTAAGATATCTCAGTATGTACATGCAAATATTCTAAAATCTGATAAAAAATCTCAAATCTAAAATACATCTTGTCCCAAGCATTTCAGATAAAGGATGATCAATGTACAGTAATGCTATTACATCCAAGGTTTGTTTTGAAGGTTCGATGAAACAATGTAAGACATACAGCCTATCCTCTTTTCTTCTTGTGGCTTCTTTCTTCCATTTCTTTCCTTCATAAATTTCCTCAGTGGTGGTCTCACTTCTAACAGGAGACAGGAAATCAAAGTTACTTGACAGGACTCATAGGAAAGGAAGAAAGACAATAGCAGTCATTCTTTTCACTTACAGAGGCTTGTGCTTTGATAGGATTCAAAACTCACTCTATATTTTCTGTCAAAAGTTGGTAAGATCTTTCAGGCTTGAGTACTCCATTCTGATTTTAGGGCCTTCACAATATTAGGAAAGGAATGCATGGAATTCCACTTTGGCATTTTCCGGTGGTACTTTCTAATGTTTCCCAACAGCTGATGCCTCTCATTTGTGCTTTCCTCAGCACATCATGTGCTCTGCGTGAACTCAGGAGATTGAAGCCATATGGGTATGTGTTCTTTAGCTTTTCCACTGCCACTCCACAAGGTCATGTTGATTGATTCTCCCCTTTGCTCCAAATTAATCCCCTTTGTCCTCATCATCCCAGCCATTTGAAGAGAGTAGACATTGCATTCATTTTTATACATCAAATGGACTAAGTACAGTGCCACAGACATAGTTTCCACCTAACAAAGTTGTTGACTAAGCAGCCTGACTTGAATTCTGATCAGGAGAATTAGTATGTTATGCTGAAATGTAGGGGGAAGCAGTCATTATTCAGGTTTCGGTGTATTTCAAACTAGCTAAAAAGAGAGGGGAGTAGCTCAATGGTAGAGGACTTCATAACCTGCACAAAGTCCTAGGTTCTGTATCTACCACTAGAGGAGGCTGGTAGGGGGAGAGACTGACTGAGACTGGAGTAAAGCCAGTCCAAAATTCAAATCCTAACACTACAATAGGAAAAAAAACCAGAGGGAATTCCTGTGTTCAGTCCCCAGTGATAGGTGAAAAAAAAAAGAGAACAAAGAATTTGTATTCATCTTTTTTATTGCCATTACAAAATACCTGAGGCTAGCTACTTCAGAAAGAAAACAGCTTTACAAAGCTCACAGTTTTGGAGATGGGGCAGCCCCACTGCTTCAGCCTCTAATGATGGCCCTCGGCTGCATCATATCTTGGTTGATGGCCTTACCCTTATGGCAGGAATGTATGAAAAAGGGAGAAATCACATGGCAAGATAGGAAGCCAGGAAGGGATTCAGGGATCAGCCTTTCTCTTTTATAACAATTAAAAAAAAAAAAAAAAAGACTAACCAGGTCCTATGAGAACTAAGGTTAGTGTACCCAATAACCTAACTAACTCCAGCTTAATAGGCCCTGCTTCTCAAAGGTTCTATCACCACACTGGACAGCAGGCCTCTGACACACCAATCTTGGGGATGAAGCATATTCAAACCATCACACCACTCCAACTACCTAGCAAGCAAGGGTCACCTGGACTGGGGGAGCCAGGCTCTGGAGTATGACTTTGCTTTCATAGTTCACGGTTCACTCTAAAAACTCCAATGGACCACCCTTTCCCTTTACACACACACTCTCTCTCTCCCTCCTTCTCCCTCTCTCTGCTTTTACTTCTATTTTGCTTCTACATCTCTTCCTTTACGTGCATCACCATCAATATTTTCAGGAATGATATAATTCAGCCATTTATCACCTAATCTGAAAACATTTTCATATGTGGACAACCCAAGCCATAAGGATTAGCCCACGCTGACTCCTTTACGTTTTTGACTGTTGACAGTGGTCTAATTAGCACACCCAAGGGATACAATATGACCAGTGTTGAAAGATGGCTGATTCTGAAGGGAACTGGCAGGCAGCTAAAATTTTATAGCTGTCATACCTCTTCCATATGAATCTGTGCTGAAATTAAGCTGGGTTTGCCAGACTTAGATTTAGTAAATAAAAATATAGGACTCTAGTTAAACTGAAATTCCCTATGTGCAAGAAATAATATTAGATGCACTATTTGGGCCATCTTTATATGTGCTAAAATGGTTCTTGTAATCCATAGTATTCACTTTTTTTTTTTAATCAAGAAAAATAACTTAGATGTAGGAAAATGGAGAAAGGAAAATGGAGGGAGGAAAAGGCAGCAACGGAGTGCTTAAAGTTTGGAGGCAGAAGACTTACTTACAAAAACAGAGTTCGAACAATTTTAGAAAAAGTGGGATTTGAACTGGGCCTTACAAAGTAGGCAAAATTGTAGCAAGTAGGGGAGAGGGAACAATTTTGAGGGCAGAGGAGAAACATCCTAAGCAAAGGTAAGAACGGGCCGAATGTACGCGCCCAAGGCTTAAGTTCTCGTGTGTATGGATCTGTACTTGCCAGGGGATTGTACCGTGGAAGCATAGCATGGAGTACTTGTCATTGCATGTGGGAGGTTTATGACTAGCAAAGAGTTTTGGACAAGGTGAAAGGAAGTCTATGTTTACGCGCCAATAGATTAGAAAGATCAAAGGGATTGAGATCGGTTTTGAAGCTACTGCAGTAGCTCAGAGGAACGTGGTGCTGGAAAGGACGTAGAGCTTTTGGAATAGGCCTTAGCTAGAATACTTACCAAGTAGCCACCAGGAAAAACCTAGGTAATCTGAGTCTCATATTTTGTATGAAATACTTTCAAAACTTACGCCACACGTTGGGGGAGGCAAGCAAACATGTGTAACATACCTGGCGATGGTCATTCCTCAAGGAATGGTATTTTAAAGTTTCTTCCCCATTCTTTGTTAGTCCAGCCCGTGGGACTTGTGTGACTTTTGGTACGTGGCCAATGACTTTTGGTCCTTGGCCAATCTCTTGCTTTACCTGTGGGCCCTTTCTGGACAAGGTGCCTTCTCAAAAGAAGTTCACGGCCCTGGTGTCTGACCCTTGCTCCTGCCCTGCGCCCGGGTACACAGTGTGCCCCCGACGCGGGCGCCTGAGCCTTCGGGGCGTGGAGCCGAGGGGGCGGGTGTGAGACCCGATAGGACCCAGCTAGGCCGGCCGCGCCCCGCGTCTGCCCTAGAGGCCCTCTCCGGGGCGCGCCCCCTCCTCCGCCCCCTCGCGCCCGCCGGCGCAGGGCCAGGCAGCGGGCCGCAGGGCTGGCGCCCCCTGGAAGGGAAATCCCCTCCCTCGGGCCTTCCGGGCTCTTTCTCAAAAACTGCGCCGCGTTCTCCCGCTTCGGCTCTCCCGGCCGTCCGAGGCGCCAGGCGCGGCTTCCCGAGGCGGCGGGCGCGCGCGGCGCGGCGG